CGGGTCGGAAGAAGAAGGGAAAGGGGGGGGCAAAGGCAGCGCCTGCGCCTTCCAAACAGTTGGTGGTCCCAGCTCCACAGGACCAGCCTCACGTACCGAAGAAGGTGTACACCGATTGTCGTCATCGGATCAAAGACAGGAAGGATGCCGAACGGCATAGGTCCCCAATCAAGGTGAATGCCCGCCTGCGGGACTCACGGATGAAGGTCCTAAGAGATAAATCGCCCCTTAGGAAGGTCTAGGGTTTGGATTCGGGAATGGAATCTGACGATGAGTACGTCCCTACCAAGGGCACCGAATCAAACTACCGTTCAGAAACTCCCCCGGAGTATTCAAAGGCAAAACCACCAAGTCCGAGGAGAACTTCCGAAGACTTCAGTTCCGAGGAGGTCCCAAGCCGAGACCCCGCTATCCGTCCGCTTTTCCAGAGAATTCAGAAGATGGAAGATGACCAAACCCGGTCCCAGGTTCCTGACTGGGGAAAACTTCGGCCAGGGCCCTTCACCGAGCGCATCAAGAAGTCCCGACAGGACAGGGAGGTGCAATTGCGTATACCATTTTATACCGGTTGGAGGACCTTTTGACGCATCTTCACTCCTTCCAATCGACAGTTGGGTGCAAGGGTCTCAGCGACGAGGGACAATGCCTGTTGTTCCCATCATCCCTTACCGAAGCCGCTCTGAACTGGTTTTACCGTCTTGAGCCAGGGACGGTAGACTCTTTTGACGAACTGAAGCAGATTTTCCTCAATCACTTCATGATCCAGACAGATCGCTTGTACTCTGCTGATGATCTGTACACGATTCGGCAGAGGGAAGACGAACCTCTACGGGAGTATGCAGCGCGCTTCAGTCACGAATACTCGAGGTGTCCCGAAACGGACGATAGGGCAGCCACAGCGCCTTCAAGAGTGGCCTTCGGTCCTCTCATTTCAGGTACCTCGTGCACAGTAGTAACTGGCGCACATATGACGAGTTGATGAAGCATGCGGCAGTTCATGCAAAGGCCGAATATTTCAACTCCAAACCCGGGCCTTCGGCTCGGAAGGAGGAGTCAACAACCAAGAGTTATCCGGGGCGAACTGACGATTCTTCCGCAGGGCACAAACGGAAGGATGACCACAATAGTCGCTAGGGAAACTCGAAGAAAGGGCGCGGGAAATACGGTCGTAACGACCACCATGCACCACTACCGAATCATGATCCAGACAGATCGCTTGTACTCTGCTGATGATCTGTACACGATTCGGCAGAGGGAAGACGAACCTCTACGGGAGTATGCAGCGCGCTTCAGTCACGAATACTCGAGGTGTCCCGAAACGGACGATAGGGCAGCCACAGCGCCTTCAAGAGTGGCCTTCGGTCCTCTCATTTCAGGTACCTCGTGCACAGTAGTAACTGGCGCACATATGACGAGTTGATGAAGCATGCGGCAGTTCATGCAAAGGCCGAATATTTCAACTCCAAACCTGGGCCTTCGGCTCGGAATGAGGAGTCAACGACCAAGAG